AGAAGTGAATAAAAGAGGAACTGCTTGCAGGGCCCCAGGACAGAGGGTGAAAACATGTTTATAGCACAGACACCAAAACAGAAGCAGAAGGAGAGTGTGGTGTACCTCAGCGGAACTAGGAGGGCAGCTCACTTCCATTTTTTTGAGGTTCCTTTTGCCAAGAAAAGTGAAGGATTCATTTCCGCATTTAACACGTGACAAATGCTTTTGGCCTCCCACGATTAAAATGCAGTGTCAGTGTGCCCTGGCAAGGGGCTGGATTTATTAAAATTGAACTAACTAATCCACAGGGAGACACCATCAGAAGAGCCTATCAGAATAGCTGGGAGCAAAAATGTAAACAGAGCTGCCCATTTCCAGCCCTCGAGAGCAGAGAGCACCGCTGAATGCGCCTCCGAGGCTGCAGGGAGTATAATAGGACAGTTACCTTGGGAACAGCTTGGGCAGTGTCTTCTAAACATAAACACACTGACCACAAACCCCAGAAATCTCACTCCTAGGTGTGTGCCCAAAAGAAACGGATGTTTATGTTCACACAAAGTCTACAGAGGAATGTGTATAAGTAGCTTTACCTATAAGCACTAAAAAACCCCAAATTCCTTCAACTGGCAAATGGAGCACTTGTCAGCAGGAAAAAAGGATGAACTAAAAGCAAGTTGAGTATGTATACAGTTAAATAATTCTCAGCAAGGTTCCCAAGACTATGGCATGGGGGATGGACATCTTTTTAACAAATGGGAAAACACGCGGAAGAATGCACGTGGACCTTACCCCATGCCATGTGGAAAAATGAACTCAAATAGTTTAGAGACCCAAATATAAAATTTAAAACTGTTAAGCTCCTCAAAGACAGGGGGAAGTCTTCAGAATAGTGGATTTGTCAGTGATTATTTGCATGTAACACCAAAAGCACAGGCGATGAAAGAAAAGAAAAATAGAGTTCTATCAAACTGTAAAACTTCATCAAAGGAAACAATCCCTAGGTGTGGTGGTGCACACCTGTAACCCCAGCTACTAAGGCGGCCCAGGCAGAAGCACTACGAGTTCAAGGCCAGCCTGAGCAACTTGATGAGATCTTATTTCAAAATAAAAAGTTATTTTTTTAAATTTTTTTTTTTTTTGTCTTTTTGAGACATGGTCTCGCTCTGCAGTTCAGGCTGGCCATGAGCTCGCTCTGCAGCCCCGATTGGCCTTGAACTCGCAGTGATCCTCCTGCCTCAGCCTCCCGAGTGCTGGGACTGCAGGCTTGCACCACCACGCCTGGCAAAATAAAATTTTTAAAAGGGCTGGGATATAGTGGTAGAGAGCTTGTCAAGTATGTGTGAGGGTTCAATTCCCCAGCACTGGAAAGAAAAAAAGAAAAAAAAAGGAAGGAAGGCAGGAAGGAAGGAAAGAAGGGAAAAGGAGCTCAATCAACAGTGAAATATAACCCATGGAACAGAAAAAAATATTTCCAAATCATTGTCGGGCATGGTAGCACAGACCTGTAATCCCAGCACTCGGGAGGCTGAGGCAGGTGGATTGTTACGAGTTTGAGACCAGCCTGGGCTACAAAGTGAGCTCAAGGCCAGCCTGAACTGCATAGTGAGACCGTGTCTCAAAAAAAAAAAAGAAAGAAAGAAAGAAAAGAAAAGAAAACAAAAGAAAAGAAAGAAAAAAAGAAAGAAAGAAGGAAAAGAAGGAAGGAAGGAAGGAAGGAAGAGAGAGAAAGACAATGGGGATATAGCTCAGTGGCATAAGCACTTGCCTGGGAAGCCTGAGATCGTGAGTTCACTTCAGGTACCAAAAAAAAAAAAAAAAGCCCCTGGCTAGTGTGGCTGTGTGGATACCAGACATAGGCTGGTTCCCGAGCCTGCTGATCCCCAGCTTTGCCATCTGTCCTCTTCTCCAGGGCTCTCTGTAGGGAGGGTCCTGTATGTCCTAAGATGTTACCAAGCGGTTGAGGGTCCTAAATTGCCCCGACTGGGCTCTTGCCTGCCTCAGCCTCCCAGTGTGCTGAGATTACTGTATCAGCCTATGCCGCCAGGCCTAGTCTCATAGTCTTGATCTCCCTGCAGGTCCAAACAGCACCTTTACAAAGTTTGATGATGCTATCTCTGCTTGTAAACTATTTGGATAAAAGGAATGGATATATGTAGATAATTGCTGGAAAAATAGATTTTGTTTTCAACATGGGGATTGAATCTAGTGCCTTTACACTGGGCTACATCTTCATCTCCAGCCGTTTTTTAAAATTCTGATTTTTAGGGGGTTTTGGTGGTACGTGTCTGTGTGTGTGTGTGTGTGTGTGTGTGTTTTGTTTTGTTTTTTGAGACAGGATGTTGCTATGTAGTTCAGGCTGGCCTTGAAGTCACCATGTCCCAGGCTGGTTTTGAACTCACAGTGTTCCTCCTGCCTCAGCCTCCCAAGTGCTGGGATTACAATCATTCATCACCACATCTGGGTGAGGTACCAGATTTAAGCAGGACAGAAGCCATGATTTTAACAACAGCCAGTTCGGCTCAGACCACGCCAGAGAGCAAACAGAATGAGAAACACTGCCTTGTGAAGTTAGCTTTAGGTTTTTTTGTGCCTACCTACTTTTCCTGTCGGATTTTCCAGGCTATTCGTGTGGCAACTTCCAAGTGAGAACTCCAAGAAGCCGAATTGTCTTGATTCCTCCTAACACTGGCACAGACCATAAGGAACTATGAATGCCAACAACCCTAGAGTGACAGATGGTCTTTTTTTTTGTTTGTTTGTTTTGAGACAGGGTCTCGCTATGCAGTTCAGACTGGTCTTGAGCTCACTTTGTAGTCCAGGCCGGTCTTGAACTCACACGATCCTCCTGCCTCAGCCTCCTGAGTGTGGGATTATAGGCGTGCACCACCACGCCGGGCCTCAGATGGTTATTTTAAATCACAAACATTTATGCACAACCCAAATGCTGAGGTTTGGGGCAAAATATGGATCTAAGTCTGAGCATTGCGTATTTCCTTCCATCCTCAGGAGGGAACCTATTGAAAGTCAGGGTAGGGGCTGGGGATTTAGCTCAGTGGCAAAGCGCCTGCCTGGCAAGCGCAAGGTCGTGAGTTTGGTTCCTGGTACCAGAGGGGGGGGGGGGGAAGTCAGAGTAAAGGAAGAAAGAATGCTTTCAGTCAAAAGATGAAACAACTGGCAGAAGTGAGTCACCTGGGAAATGTTCACCCTAGGAAGTGTTCCTAAGGTTTGCAAAATTGAGTTGATGCGATCTTTATTGCAACTTTGTAAGAAGTTAGATGTTATAAAATTACTTTTGGGCCATCCACTGAAGGTTGAGATTAGACATAAGAGGGTAGTAAGATGATCTCCCAGGTTGGAATCATGGGATGTGAGTCTTTAAGAGAATATAATCATAAAGACAAAAATGGTAGAGCCATAGAGCAATTTATCAAAATTTTAATCATGCCAAAATTAAGTCTAATTTGATTTTAGGTTTAAAATCTCAAACCAGAAGTTTGGCGTGGTGGCACACACCTGTAATCCTAGCACTCTGGAAAGCTGACGCAGGAGAATCATAAATTCCAGCCCAGGCTGAGAAATTTATAGAGACCCTGTCTCAAAATAAATGAACCAGGCACGATGGCACACACCTGTAATCTCTGCACTCAGGAGGCTGAGGCAGGAGGATCGCTGTGAGTTCAAGGCCAGCCTGGGCTACACAGTGCGTTCAGGACCAGCCTGAACTACATAGAGAGAGCCTGTTTCAAAAAACCTAAATAAACAAATAGGTAGGTAGATAGATAGATAGACACACAGATAGACAGATAGGGGCTGGGGAATGTAGTTCACCGTGAAGGCCCAGGGCTCAATTCCCAATAACACACAAACATGCAGTCAAACCAAAAAATAGGACAAAGTGATTCCCAGACATTAAGGAATAGAAAAAAAGGTAGAGGCCTGGAAGTAAAGAGAAGTTTTCAAAAAAGAAAACAAGTCCCAAATTTAGAAGTTATAAGATGAACGTATGGAAAATACTGTGGCTTTTTATAGTGAAATATTCCATCAAAGCAGTCCACAGTTTCAGTCAGATCCCAAAACAATCCTTTGTAGAAAAAATTTTGGCACTATCTGTATTACACATTCGAATGATCCAGTTATATTTTTATACACTGTCTCTGGAATGTCACACAAAGGTGCTAAACTTGACACTTTGACGATTTAGCCTTGCCATACAAATAGAGTGAGCTAGGTATGTACACAGTTTGGCACTATGAATTGGTAATGCATTTCTTGAATAAATATCGTGATATGTTTAAGTATTTTGACATCTGCTTCTGAACTGTAAGGAGAGTGTGCCCCGGCTCCTCGGTTCCTCCCAAATGACTCAGTCTGGAGGGTGCAGCTTTCCTAACTCTTGTGGTCCCCAGGTAGTTTTTCAGTTAGATTTGGTTTGTTTTCCCCTTAAGATTTATAAATTAATCTACTTAATTTTTACCAAAGCTTTTTTGTTTGTAAAAGTACTAAGTATCCATCTGTTTCCCTTACCACAACGCGGAGTTTTCTGGCGAACTCCTGAGTAAGGCAGAACGAAGACGGCAACCCCAGGGTGGACAAGGGTCTGGGACGCGGCATTCAAGGCTGGAGATGTGATTGAACTCCGTGTGTTACCGCAGACCGAGAGTTAACTCCGTCCACTGCCCCGCTTCGTCAGGCCGTTTGTTAGAAACGCTGATTTCTGGACTTTGCCCTAGTCTTAGGGACTCAGGATCCCATGACGTTGTATGTGGGAATCCGTATTTTTTTTTTTTTTT